TCCGAGCGGTTAGAACGCTGGGTTTCCTTGGGGGAGACCCGGGTTCGAATCCTCGGTATACCTGGTGATTTTTTTTTTTACTCGGGGTCAAAATAAAATCCTCAGCACTAGCCATGTGTCCCTAAATACTAAATTCTCAGGCTCAAAGCCCCCCACCCCCTGACAACACCCATCGGTGGGGGAGAGAAAAGTAGTCAGTATAATTTGTTTGGCGGGGGTGGGGGGGTGGGGGGGGGTGGGGGGGGGAGGAGGAGGGGGAGAGGAAGAAATAGATGATGACAGAAACTGATAACTGAGAGAGCTTACAATCACAGTAACCGCCATGTGGCGCTAAGTTCTGTGACTCACGACACGCTGTCTACACCGACCTAGAAAGGTGGTAAAACAGACGGTAGTGACATTATTTCAGTTGTTGTGGTGGTAGTAGTAGTTGTACTGACACTCGATGGATGCTGTAGTAAATATTACACTGGCCGCAATTACGTCTCATTACCATTCCTGTTACCCATTTTAGTCTGGGTGGACATGGATGCCAAGGTCAATTACAATAAATTTCGTCACGTAATAAATCCCTTTAAATCCCTTCGGAGAGGGAGAGACAAAAAAGTCAGAATATAAAATCAGTTGTTTCAAGAATGTATGCGTATGACATGGTGCTTCGCCATTGCGCATGACGTAGTGATCACATGACCATATATTTGAAAAGACTGCAGGTATGCGAGTAAAGCATTGGATCATTAAATTTTCCCATTTCGCATACTACGATTCCATTTCAATGTTTCCAATTGCATGGTTACATAGAATTTTTTATAGTTTTCCGTTTTTTTTCATTTTGATTTAATGTTTTCGTCTGACATTGCGTTGCAAATAAGCTGTGTTGTTTACCATAGCGTTCATTTCGTAATTATGGTGAATTTTTTCCTGTTTTCGTTGCTTTTCACTTGGTGTTTTTTTTCCAACTACTTCGAAAGAGTAGTCGGTGAATTAGGGTGTGGGGGTTGGGTTGGGGGGGGGGGGGTACAACATAAACTGTTAAATGAGAGAGATTTAGGTCACAGTAACTGCCTGGTCCACTCAAAGTAGCAGTAATAGTAGTAGTTGTGTTTGGGCGGTTGCACAATAGGGCTGTCATGCCAGAGACCTGGGTTTGACGTTTTTCTGTCGGGGAGCGAAATTACACATCCTACTCTGACCAGTCAGTGGCGACAGCACTAGCCATGCGGCGGCAAATCCTCTGGCTCACGACTGCCTGTCTACTCCGATGGTAAAACATATAGCAGTGACATTATTTTATTAATTGTGGTGGTGGTGGTATTAGTTGTACTGGTTCTTGAGGGATGGTGTGGTAAATATTACACCCGCCGCATTTACTTCTCATTACAATTCCTGCTCCCCTTTTTAGTCCGGATAGACAGGGATATCAAGGTCAGTTACAAAAAATATCGTCAGGTGATGACTTTCAAATCCTTCGGAAAGGAAGAGAGCAGCAGTCGGTGGATGGGGGAAGGGGTGATGACAGAAATTGTTAACTTGGAGAGGTTGACACACGATTTTGAAGTTCTCATTTCCAATTGTTATTTTATTTTACAACCGCTATCTCCGCTATTTTCATTTTTTTTAAACGACTCACTCGCTTATATACAAGTACAGCTGTAAGCTTTACTTCAGTCTCTTGAAAACACAAACAGCTTTAGCATGTGATAATCTAATAACCATTTTAAATCCTAAAAATTTAAACATCCACTATAATGACACAGTTATATGCTGCATGTTCTAGAGTGGGCCAACCAGACTATCTCTATATCTGCGGAGGCAATGATTGTGACATTAACAATATTAGACACTTGCAATTTCTTTTTTCTTTCTTTTGATAAAACCTTCGATAAGGGAGAGAGTAGTCAGTGGATCTGGAAAAGGGGGAGGGGTCATCGAAGACTATCTTCATTTCTGCGCAGACAATGATTGCGACATTAACCATATTAGACACGTGCGTTTTTAAATTTCTTCCTTTTCCATTTAACCAAACTATGCCACAGCAACGTGAGGCCGGGTAGAGCTAGTTGGTCTATTAAACATAGGCTAACTCCTATATGCCCAATAAGCCTGGTTGTGGGTAATTGTCCTTTATAAATATGAGTCTGGAATGATGTGACCTATGCGCCACTTCGCAGAACTGGTCCTGAACCTGTTGTTTTGTTACAGAACGTATCTTGAATAAGTGATGTTGATGTATTTCAGTCTGATAATAACCGACCATCATCTTCACTATCCTCAAGATCATCTTTATTATCTTCATAATCATTACCATCCCCATCATCATCATCATCATTATACTTTTTATCATTATCATCATCGTCATCAGCGTCAACATTATCATCAGCAACATCAGCATCATTATGTGCCGTGCCGATTTCAACGGTAGGCTGAACGAACTGCTATTTTATACAAACATCAGAATCACGGCTGAGGTCAGTGTTCTTGTCTTGCTCCATCCATACAGTAAAGCCATACTGATACTTATCTGCTTGCTGGTGTCCTATCGGTCTTGCCAGTCGTTACCGTTCTTGACTACGTTCCTTTACATAACATGTCCGTAGAACACCGTCTACGTCCATAATGTTTCTGATCAGTTGATGACTTTCACCTGTGCCCAGGAGAACTGCCTCGTACGTTTGCTATCTTTCCAAGAAATTCTTGGCATTCTTCTTAAAAACTTCGTCTTCAAAATGTACATACGATCAGCTAAATGTGTCTCGGAAATTGGTAAATTTTTTTCTTTAACGTGCCTGCCTCGTAACAACAGCTTGGCACACCAAAGACTTGTTTGTTTATACATTCATATTATTTGAAATATTTTATGGTATTGATATGCTATTTAGCACATACTGTTATTATTACTAAAGTCTATTTTAATCAGGCTTGAGGCTTCCCCCCCCCCCCCACTCCCCCTTTCCCCTCACGATTTTGTATTGGGGGTGGGGGTGCCCCAGAATGATAGTGAATCGACCTTCACCTATCATAGCCAACAGAAGCAGAAGTAATAAGCTGGTGATCATGTGAGTTATGTAGTGGATGTTGTTGTCCATCAAGATTATGATAACCACTCTTTTTCATCAAGTATGAGTATGAAGATGACTGATGAGGCCGATGAGGTCCCGAAAAGTTCTTGGACAGTGAGGACAGGGAATGAGTGTTGTGCCAGGGAGGGGATTTCCTGCAGTCGCCTTTCTGTCCACCCTTTTCCTAATAAGTCTTGCTGTTCTGTTTGCTTCACATGTAGCCACGCCCTTGTGTAGAGTTGCACGCCATTCATTTCGGTCTATGTAGTGGATACGAAACAAACAACAACTATTGTTCTTGCTGTTCACTAGTGATGCATTGTTTGCTGTTTGATCCATGGCGCCTTTGATCTTGGCCAAATGGCCGAGGCGGGATAACATGTGCCACGTGCTGTATAGTCAGACAAGTAACGGTAACATTTTATCACACATCGTTTATAATTCTTAGTTAGGTTTCGTTACAGAAGTCAAGGTCACAAATCTACATCTCAAGGCGTATTTCCCATCTGGCGATACCCAAATGATAAACTGACAAATCGACACTGGGTGTTAAATGTGACGATAATTATACTGGTTGCCTTACCTTCCAAGGACAATTTTATGGTATTCGTTTTTACAATTGAAAATTAAGAAATAGAAACTGTAAAAGATTTCGAAAACTTGGGTTCTTTAGTGAACAACAATGGCGACTGCTCACAAGAAGACTTGCATTAACAATGCAGAGATTAAACAACATGAAGAACCTATGGCAAAGCGCTAGTAAACTGGTTGAAGTGAAAATCTTGAGATCATGCATTTTTCCTGTGGCAACTTACGGTTGTGAGTCTTGGACTCTCACTCAATCACTGGGGGAAAAGATTTGAGCTTTTGAATTGAAATGTTATAGAAACATTCTTAGAAAACCATAGATCAGTAAAAGGAAAAACATCGACATTCTGAAAGAGTTGCTTCAAGGAGAACTGGCTCATAAACAGCATCTTGCCCCGAAAGTTGAAGTATTTTGGCCAAATCAAGCGTCATGGTGGCTTGGAAAAGACAGTGATGGAAGGTGCAGTTTCTGGAAGGTGAGGCAGAGGTCGACCACCGCGGAGATGGATACAAGACGTTGAAGATGCATTTGCATTGAAAGCACACGGGGCCGGAGAACTGGCTAGAGAAAGGGATACTTTCAGGCGTGCCGTGAAGAGAGCGACGTTCTGTAAAGGACTTGCTGATTGATGCTGAGTTTGTATTGCTAAATCGACCTAGGCGCACTAAACATTTAAAAATCGACCTCGATGGGACTACAAACTTACGAAAATTAGTCATGACCTCGATTTTTACAAGCGGCGCTAAAAACATTAAATTTACAGAGACGCTATTATATGTTATCACAGACCAGGTCAGTGCACATTAGGCATTCCCATGCGTGCTCAGTCCTCTGAAGCAGCAGCTATCTCAGACTGTCTCTATCTAGAGAGATAATGTTCAGCTGTGCAAGTCATATCTTGTTCTAGCTACCTAAGTGTGTCCGTTGATAACATCACACACATGCGGATTACAAATGTCTATAACACGCGCTGCGCCGCGCTAACTGTCCGCGCAACTGTCTGGTACAACACACGTGGTCTAATTTTAGCTCGCCTTGAACCCGCACAGCCTTGACCTGGCAATGGTGTTATTGTCAACAAACAGAACTACTGTTAAATTCCGCCGTGAATAATAGGCAGTTAGCTTTGCTTATTGCTATACACAGACCGCATTTACTTGCAAGAGACTGACAACGAATGTTCGTGAATATATAATAAGCTAACAGTGTGGAGATACGCCGAGGTATTTATTGTTGCTCTGAACGCGCAAGCAGACAGAATAACGCGGGTGCCTGCCTTATCCTACGTGGAACACAGTAACTTCTATTACCCTCCGTTGAGCAGTCGTGCTTTGTGTCTGTGAAATATCAGCATGGCTGAAGCTGTATCTGTTGCTAGGCGTGTTCTTGTGGCTTTGGACGGCAGTCAGAACGCCTTTGATGCTTTTGATTGTGAGTACATTCGTGTGGGTTATTGTGTGTGAACGGTAAGCTTAATTGACTGCACTCTGTACTTATGGTTGCTTTTTAAAACAGACTTACTACTAATGCCAAGGATTGGAGAGGGGAGAATGGCGATGTGGAAAAGAATGTTGAATTGACAGTCGATGTTACAGCACTTGGGACACCCCCATAAGCGCTTCGTCCCCATCTTCAGCAGCAGGCGAAGAGTTAAAATGCTGATGGTACCAGTAACTGTCTGATTATACATCCGTCTTGCCTTTTCCCTGAGTGTCGAGCGTCTGCCAAATCCCCTTATAACTCCTCGGAGTGCCATTCTTCTCAGACCGTAATGATCTGTAGGTTCCTCGGCACTGTTCACTCGCTGCCAAAGGGCCCTCACACTGCTGCTACTGCTACTACTGCTGCTACTGCTACTACTGCTGCTACTGCTACTACTGCTGCTACTGCTACTACTGCTGCTACTGCTACTACTGCTGCTACTACTACTACTGTTACTACTACAGCTGCTGCTACAATATTGCTGCTACTACTACTACTACTACTACTACTACTACTACTACTACTACTACTACTACTACTACTACTACTACTACCACCACTACTACTACTACTACTAATGTTGCTAGTAGCATCTTCTTTCCTTCTGACCATCCATTTCAACCAGATAATATCCCACAGTGACAAAGGACAGTTGTTACACAACTGATATTTAAACCCTATAATGGCCTGAATCTTTCTCCTGTCAAATTACTAACATTGATCGATTAGCAGTGTTAGTCAGCCATGGCTGTGAGAGGATACTGGTGGTAGCAAATGTTTGCGCGTGTCTTCCAAACAGCCAGGCCATCGCATTCTTTTCTTCATATCCATCGCTATCTCCTTCTCTTTGTCGCTTCTTCCTCTCTTACTGCTACTACTGCTGCTGTTTCTTCTTCTTCATCTTCTTCTTCTTCTTCTTCTTCTTCTTCTTCTTCTTCTTCTTCTTCTTCTTCTTCCTCTTCTTCTTCTTCTTCCTATTTATCATCATAATCTTATTCTTTTTTTCTTTCTTTCTTTCTTTCTTTCTTTCTTTCTTTCTTTCTTTCTTTCTTTCTTTCTTTCTTTCTTTCTTTCTTTCTTTCTTTCTTTCTTTCTTTCCTTCTTTCTTTCTTTCTTTCTTTCTTTCTTTCTTTCTTTCTTTCTTTCTTTCTTTCTTTCTTTCTTTCTTTCTTTCTTTCTTTCTTTCTTTCTTTCTTTCTTTCTTTCTTTCTTTCTTTCTTTCTTTCTTTCTTTCTTTCTTTCTTTCTTTCTTTCTTTCTTTCTTCATAGCTACTTTTACTGCTCCTCCATCCGTTCTTTGTCTGCCTTTTCCTTCTTTGCCAGCCTTGTGGTTTCTCCTGTCATTGTTTACTCGTACATTTGCCCAATTTTTGTAAATTAAAGGTGACATTATTCATTTTTTAAATTTATGTTCTATTCAAACATTGCACATTTGCTGTTTTCCCTAAGCTGCCCCGCTCAGATTGAAAGTATATTTACTTCTCATTCTCCCTTGCATAGGTAAATGTTATTTTATCATTCGCTGTCATTCTGGTATTTCAATACTGTTATGTATATTATCTCATTCAGCCGTTCATAAATAAACGTTTATCTTATCCTTTCTTGTTACGGTTCCTAGTCTAGTTGTCTATTCTTAGCATAGTTCTCTAGGCGTCGGTTTTTATGTCTAGTTGTTTGTTTTTTATGTCTTGTTGATGTTCTTATGTCTAGTAGTCTGTTTTTTATGTCTAGTTTCCCATTCTTAGGGTTGCCTGTTCTTTTGTCTGTTTGCCTCTTCATGTGTCTAGCAGTCTGTCCCAAGCCAAGCCGTCTGTTCCTAGTAAAGTTGTCTGTTTTTGTTGTTGTCTAGTTTTATGTTCTTGGTCAAGCCATCTGTTCTTATGTCGTTGTCGTTTTCTGTATCTTACTGTCTCTCTTTGCCTGCACTCTTTTCTTAGTCAAGCTGTCTATTTCAGCTTTTCACCAGATACGCAGTGACCAATTTTAGCCTGTTCAAGTGGCTGTTCTGCTTATTATTTTCTGCTTTGATACAACACAGGGTGGCTTGTTTGTATCAATGAAGATAGTAACAATAGCCTTGTTGTTTTAGTTTTCTAGCATCCTTGATAAAGGAATGTCTTTTAGGGTGACCACAGAACGTGGTATCATTGTTATCTGGTCCCGTAACAATGTGAACCGCTAGGTCACTCACTTGTACAGTTGTCTATTGTATCTGTTTGTATCATTTCTAAAGCTGCTATAATTGCCTGTTGTATCTGTTTATATCATTTCTAAAGCTGCTATAATTGTCTGTTATGTCTGTGTGTATCATTTCTAAAGCTGCTCTTATGGCCTATTATATCTGTTTGTATCATTTCTAAAGCTGCTATAATTGTCTGTTATATCTGTTTGTATCATTTTAAAAGCTGCTATAATTGTCTGTTATATCTGTGTGTATCATTTCTAAAGCTGCTCTTATTGCCTATTATATCTGTTTGTATCATTTCTAAAGCTGCTATAATTGTCTGTTATATCTGTTTATATCATTTCTAAAGCTGCTATACTTGTCTGTTATATATGTTTGTATCTTATATCTGTTTGTATCATTTCTAAAGCTGCTATAATTGTCTGTAATATCTGTTTGTATCATTTCTAAAGCTGCTCTTATTGTCTATTATATCTGATTATATCATTTCAAAAGCTGCTCTTATTGTCTATTATATCTTTTTATATCATCCCTAAAGGTGTTATAGTTGTCACCTTGCACAGAACATTAAGTGCCAGGTTGAGTTTAACCCCTTTGCTGTGTTTGTATGTATATGTGTGTTGTGTGCGTGTGTGTGTGGGGGAGGGGCTCATATCGTACCCCCAGAAGCAAGCCCTCCAGTTTATTAACCCCCTCCCTCGGTATTCAGGGAAAATCGACTTGCGTGCCCCCTGTGACTAAAGTGTGTCAGGTGTGCAATAGTTGTTCATGTGGCCTGAGTCTTTAGCTAGCCGCAACGTGTCACCCGCCTGACACAGATGTTTCCATTATAACAAGCTGGTACATATTTTTTTAAAGTATACAGACACACGCGCACACACACATATATAGATGCGTGTATGTATGTCTGTTTCGGAAACGACTAGACGCTCTGCTGCCAACCTGAAGGTCTAGGGTTCAAATCCGCATCAAGTTGGGACAACCCCCCCCCCCCTTTTTTTTTAAAAATGACCTTGAGTCAGCCCAGCCTAAATGGGTACCAGGTAATGACATAGGCAGTAAAGGTAGGCGGCGTTGTGGTCACTAGATTACCTGCTCAGTGTACCACTGGTGTAAGAAGCGTCCTTTGCTTTTCACTGTTATAGACTCAGTTCTACTATTGCTGTTTTATATTGAGCGTGATATAAAAATTTAGAAATGTTGATCAATGCCCAAAGAAGCAAATTGAAGAAATCGAGATAGTAGGAGACACTGTTTCATTAACAACATGACGATCAGAAGTTACCGTCAGCATAACGGAATTTAAACTTGTCACCTCTAGATGACGACAACGTCTCGCTGCAGGAACAAAAGTACTTCGAAGAACTTTTTAACTAGACAGCCCTAGAAAAGTATCTTTATTAATCACGCTTTTCATATACATTGACTCCACAGCCATAGAATATGGATATAATTATGTTATAGCTACTGAAATAGCACCATGGGTCTTGAGCTAGCTGTCGTTGTGTGGAAGTACATTCAAGTACATTTGTTGCCGCAGCGAGGCACTGTCTCCATTTGGAGGCTACAGATTCCAGTATGATGTGCCCTCCGTATCCTGTCTGTTGTGTCCTTATATCTCCACTTCTGTCCTGTACCTCGGCGAGTGCTAGCCGGTACGGTACATGTGGTTAGCAAGCTCTTTCAAGTGCCATCAGTGTTCCATAGCCATTCACACCTGTGTCCATATGTAACTTTGTTTATCGCTTTGTTTATCTTTCCTCACAGGGTACTTGAAGAATGTCCACACACCAAATGATTACGTCATCATTGTGTACAGCCCTAATATCGCCAGTACCGTTTTCAACAGTAAGTTTGTCCTCTCCACCCGTCATTAGCTACCTGCCAAACTGTAAGATTGCACATGTGCCCAAGTGTATGGTGCTTCGTCTTTATGTCTTTCTATTTGTGACAGTTCGGAAATCTGAAAAAACACACACACACACCAAGGAAAACAATCTTACATCTATGAATCAAGAATAAAACAAATGATGTGAGAACAGAAGTAGTGTCAATGGAAAGAAATATGAAGATTTGTCATCACTACCCCCTGACCTATCTGATAGAAATTATGTTTATTCCCACTCTCTGCTGCCAGTGCCAAATATGGTGCCTCACAACAAACCCAAAAGAGCATTAGTAGCCGCGGCAATGAGATGTCTGAGAAAAGCTGAAGCATTTATGAGAAGTGAGAAACTCTGGAATGAGGTCATAAGAGAAACAGTCATTATAGAACCAATACTAAACTACATACAAAAACAGCAAATAACATAGTTGACCCACATATAATGTCATGCGACGCCGTCCCATATCGTGCATAAACCCGAGAAGAAGAGATAGGTAGAACACGAGGTAGACCAAGATTGAAATAGAAAGATAACATCAGAGGAACTCTACAACAGTCAAGTGTGTCTGTGGCTGAGGCGGCCACAAGGACCAGATTCACATCCACATTTCTTCCTTGACACCCACAGCGGGGAAAAAGAAATGAAGACGAAGCAGAACAATAAATTAAAACACTCTAAACGCTTCCTATTTCTGTATGTGTTAGTTGTGTGTCTGCGGTGTTTCGTTGGGCAGGATCTAGTCTTCCCGGTAGTTACTGATGTTATCACGTCCTGTGCTAGCTAGTTAGCAGATTTGGTGCCGTATACTTCTGACATTTTGTTTTCACTGTGTGCTCACGTGATTACCGTCACAGGCGGGACCCAGAAGTGGCAGTCCCTTGGCACAAGTCCCCACCACACGGATGACACTGGCACCCACTTTCCTTGATTAATTGCTTCATGCCATTCTCTCCTACCACTTCAGTATCTCTGCATTTATCTCTGCATTCCATTCCTCCCCCCCCTCTCTCTCTCTCTCTCTCTCTCTCTCTCTCTCTCTCTATATATATATATATATATATATATATATATATATATATATATATATATATATATATATATATATATATATATATATATATATTTGAGTGCTTAGTTCTTTCTATTCCCTCTCTTATTGCTTGTGTGTGTGTGTTTGTGCGTGTGTGTGTGTTTGTGTGTGTTCAACATGTGTTGTATCACTTGGGGCTTGTTTTCTCTAACACGTTTAAAATTAAAACGATACTCAAAACAATGTTTTCCCGTAATGAATTTAAATAATGCGGATACAAACAATACATTGCACAATTTATTGCCAGGCATATTTCGCTGTATCTCATCAGGTGCGTTACTACAGAGTTACATCGACATAAAAAAAAAGCACAGAACTAAATAAATTCAACTGAAATGCGAATAGTTTCTTCGATACGTTGTCTCTCTTTCGATACATTGTCTCTCTTTCGATACATTGTCTCTCTTTCGATACATTGTCTCTCTTTCGATATATTGTCTCTCTTTCGATACATTGTCTCTCTTTCGATACATTGTCTCTCTTTCGATACATTGTCTCTCTTTCGATACATTGTCTCTCTTTCGATACATTGTCTCTCTTTCGATACATTGTCTCTCTTTCGATACATTGTCTCTCTTTCGATACATTGTCTCTCTTTCGATACATTGTCTCTCTTTCGATATATTTTTAAAAAAAAGCGAAAAACGTTTAGAAAAGAAAACAAGACATAATCATTTTCGTCTGTAAAGATTCACATTTTCCGAATGAATAATGCCAAAGATATCTAAGTCTGGATAAGGCCACACAAAGAAAACTTCAACAACACAGTACACGAACTCCATATCGCCGCAGACAATCATAGAGTGAGTCTACAAGAACCACCCATTCAAATCGCCATCCTACCACACAGCGCTGGCAGTTTAGTCCATCGTTCTGTTATATCCTGTGGAACCCTCTTAATACCATAGATGGAATCCAATCCAGTGGCTTTGACCTCTTGCCATAACATTCATTATATGGTTTCTGCTGGACGTTTCCCCCGTCCATTTGTTTCCCTATTCAGTGCTTGTTTTGTGAATCTTTCTTCTTTCTCTCACCATGCTACTAATTGCCCCCCCCCCCCCCTCTTTTTTTTTGGGGTCATCTTTTTCTGTTGACAGTTAATGCACGCACTTGTCCGGGAATTGCTCTTAATTTCTTCACGTTTGTTGAATAGACTGCATTTAATTTTAATCAGTTTCCTTAGGCATTTGTTGTTTGAATGCATTCAACGTTGGCTATAAAGACATAATGGTGAGTGACCTTTTCACTGACTACGTTTTCTAGTTTAGTTGTTCCGTATATGGGTGCTGGGACCCCTTTTAGGGGGGAAACATTCTAGTTTAGTTGTTCCGTATATGGGTGCTGGGACCCCTTTTAGGGGGGAAACATTCTAGTTTAGTTGTTCCGTATATGGGTGCTGGGACCCCTTTTAGGGGGGAAACATTCTAGTTTAGTTGTTCCGTATATGGGTGCTGGGACCCCTTTTAGGGGGGAAACATTCTAGTTTAGTTGTTCCGTATATGGGTGCTGGGACCCCTTTTAGGGGGGAAACATTCTAGTTTAGTTGTTCGGTATATGGGTTCTGGGACCCCTTTTTTTTGGGGGGGGGGGGGCAGACCCACTGCCTTGCTGTCAAGCATGTCGTGAAAGGCAACTAATAAGTAATTGTATCATCTGTTCGATGATCATCTGATATATTCGATCTGTTGTGTCTGTTCGATGATCATCTGATATGTTCGATCTGTTGTGTCTGTTCGATGATCATCTGATATGTTCGATCTGTTGTGTCTGTTCGATGATCATCTGATATGTTTGATCTGTTGTGTCTGTTCGATGATCATCTGATATGTTCGATCTGTTGTGTCTGTTCGATGATCATCTGATATGTTCGATCTGTTGCTTCTGTTCGATGATCATCTGATATGTTCGATCTGTTGTGTCTGTTCGATGATCATCTGATATGTTCGATCTGTTGTGTCTGTTCGATGATCATCTGATATGTTCGATCTGTTGAGTCTGTTCGATGATCATCTGCTATGTTCGATCTGTTTTGTCTGTTCGATGATCATCTGATATGTTCGATCTGTTGTGTCTGTTCGATGATCATCTGTTATGTTCGATCTGTTGTGTCTGTTCGATGATCATCTGATATGTTCGATCTGTTGTGTCTCTTCGATGATCATCTGATATGTTCGATCTGTTGTGTCTGTTCGATGATCATCTGATATGTTCGATCTGTTGTGTCTGTTCGATGATCATCTGATATGTTCGATCTGTTGTGTCTGTTCGATGATCATCTGATATGTTCGATCTGTTGTGTCTGTTCGATGATCATCTGATATGTTCGATCTGTTGTGTCTGTTCGATGATCATCTGATATGTTCGATCTGTTGTGTCTGTTCGATGATCATCTGATATCTTCGATCTGTTGTGTCTGTTCGATGATCATCTGATATGTTCGATCTGTTGTGTCTGTTCGATGATCATCTGATATCTTCGATCTGTTGTGTCTGTTCGATGATCATCTGATATGTTCGATCTGTTGTGTCTGTTCGATGATCATCTGTTTGATGATCATCTGATATGTTCGATCTGTTGTGTCTGTTCGATCTGTTCCCTCTGTTCGATCTGTTCCCTCTGTTCGATCTGTTCCCTCTGTTCGATCTGTTGCGTCTGTTCGATCTGTTGCGTCTGTTCGATCTGTTCCCTCTGTTCGATCTGTTCCCTCTGTTCGGTCTGTTCCCTCTGTTCGGTCTGTTTGATCTGTTCCCTCTGTTCGATCTGTTCCCTCTGTTCGATATGTTCCCTCTGTTCGATCTGTTCCGTCGTTTTTCTGTCCATGGGCCGGCCCTTGTAGATTTTCCCCGGTATCCAAGAAGAGTAGGCTTTCCACCTACTACACCGTGACCAAGTGATGGTATAGTCTGTTTGTGCGTGTGGCTGTTGGATGACAATTCAGTTTCGTGCTAACAGATTTACTTAAGACAGGTGGTGGTGTTCTTCTATGCCACCCAGTCTTGTGAAAAACAAAGACGGGTAGATAGAAACGAATGCAGGCAAAAGAAAGAAATACCACGGAGAAAGGCAATCTACCACACAATGGCCCACACTATACATTGTTTCCGGCCAGTTTCCGGTTATTGTTGTACACAGAGCAATGTTTCCGGCATGCTCTCCCCTCCCCCGCCCCTACATCAACCTTACTGTTTGCGTTTGTCATGTTTTGTTTATATTACATTTCCCACAGACTGACTGACTAGCGTACGTGACAGCCAGCGACTGGCAGGCCAGCATTGTATGCTGCAGTATGTAGCTGCCACTTGTTTAGGGCTGCCTGCACAGACCAGGTCACAAACATCCATGTCGCAATAGTATGACTAAACACACAGGCATATATGTCAGCAATGCTGATCTGTCTGCGGTTGTAAACTGTGTCTGAGTTTCATGAAAGCTAATGAATGCCTCAATGTTTGACAAATATCAAAAACCTTGGTAGCCATATCAAACAACGCAGTTGATGAGAAACGAATTGAAAACGCCAAGCTTAAGTCAGTTTGGAGCCCCTGTATCGTAGTAACTAGACGCACGTCTACCTGCCTGAAGGTGTTAGGTTCAAATCCGCATCATGATGAATTCGCCCCTCCCCCGCAGAATCGACCCTGGCTTCCAGGTCAACCGAGGCTAAAATGGGTAATGTCCAAGGAAGTAAAGGCGCTGGCCTAGTGCTGGCCACATCAGCCATTAGGGCCAGTTGCTCCATACAAATATGAATCTTGCATCATATGTCCTATGCGCACATACACAGGATAAGCATAACAGAATCTGCTGCCTGTGATTGTGGAGCAGAAAGACAGACCCTGAGCAAATACTGCAGTACTGCCCTGACTTCTCCCAGCAGAGACTGGATCTGGTCCAAGGGAGCCACAATGCAAGAGAAGCTATGGGAGACCTGTTGTGACCTTAAACGCACAATCCTATTTGTGACACAGACGGGACTCAATGTTTAGCATGACTGACGTCAAACACAGAAGAAGAAAATCCCTGACTTGCCAGTCAACTGGTGTTATTGTCGTGTCTTTGTTGTCCACAGACTTGCCAGTCAACTGGTGTTATTGTCCAGTCTTTGTTGTCCACTGACTTGCCAGTCAACTGGTGTTATTGTCCAGTCTTTGTTGTCCACAGACTTGCCAGTCAACTGGTGTTATTGTCGTGTCTTTGTTGTCCACAGACTTGCCAGTCAACTGGTGTTTTTGTCATGTCTTTGTTGTCCACAGACTCGCCAGTCAACTGGTGTTATTGTCGTGTCTTTGTTGTCCACAGACTTGTCAGTCAACTGGTGTTATTGTCGTGTCTTTATTGTCCACAGACTTGCCAGTCAACTGGTGTTATTGTCGTGTCTTTGTTGTCCACAGACTTGCCAGTCAACTGGTGTTATTGTCGTGTCTTTGTTGTCCACAGACTTGTCAGTCAACTGGTGTTATTGTCGTGTCTTTGTTGTCCACAGACTTGTCAGTCAACTGGTGTTATTGTCGTGACTTTGTTGTCCACAGACTTGCCAGTCAACTGGTGTTATTGTCATGTCTTTGTTGTCCACAGACTTGTCATGGGGTTAGACCAGAGGTGGCCAACATTTTTTGTAGAAGAACAAATCCACTATATACATAACACCCAGATTTACTCATAATTCTATATTTTGATATTTTCATGGGATAATCTAAGATAATAATCCCTTGCTACTGTTCAGACACACTCACTCAGTAGAAGCCCTTCTAAATATTTATAAATGTGTCTGTTAAATCTCGTTATTTGCAGAAAATTGGGGAAAAATCTAGCTTATCAAGTGCAAGCCAGTAAAAACTGCTAGACGGACCAGTTTTTGCCTGTGGGACATAGTTTGCTCACCCCTGGCTTAAATTTATCGGATGTATCGAACTACAGTATTTATAATAAACAAACAGAGAATGCATTGATCGGCTCTCATAGAGAGAATAGAAAGACAGAAGGACTTGTTAGACAACATAAAAATCAAAAGCTATAATTGCTTTGCCGGGAATCGAACCTGTTACCTCCAAATGGTGTGTGTGCTTGCTGTGGAAACAAGTGTGCTAAGAACATGACCAACTAAGCACCCTTATGAAAAATGCCTTTATTGGCCATGTCTGTGGTACAGATGTGAACAGCCACAATATAAATATCAGTTCACTCTCCACCCAATGTTAGTGTTCATTGATGTTCTTTTGATTGTCTTGGAACGTTCAGTGGACTTCCTACTGCCAGCCAATGTCTCAGCGGTGTCAGATGCTGTGTCTACAGCCCATGAAGCCGCCAAGGATGTGCAGCAGCTGCTGGAGGAGAAGTTGAAACAGTCTGGGGTCAGTTTGTGACAGTTTTTATGTTCTGCATTGCAACAGGTGGATTAAATGGTTTATTTGTGGATTGCACTCTCTCTTGCGGCATAGGCTGAGGCTTTGGGGTAGGGGGGTTAAAGTTAGGGCCAGTTCTACATGTTTTGGGGCCATTAAAATTGATCACATTGTGGAATATAGAACACACAATATTGCTAGCTGCTGACAACAAGTAAAATACTACTCGTTGATGAACACTCACTAAAACCCCCGCAACATAAGACGGTCTCTGCAACACGAAGAGGCATGAGTGTCAAGGGAAGTCACTCTTTTTCTGAGGCGGAAAACATAAAAAGAACCCAGCGTGTTCAATTTTGATTGTAACTTTGTATGTGGATGAACCATTTATGTGTGGATTGAAACAGAAGATGTCTGATTGAAGTAGTGTATCTGTGTATTACAACAATGTTTGTGTGTGTGTTTGGATTGCATGTTTTATTATAAGATTCTGCCAGCGTTTGTGTCCATTGCAAAACTTATGTGTAGATTGCAGCAGTTGATGTGTGAATTATTAGAGCTTAAATTGTATATTTGTTATTTCTTTCTCTCAATCATTAAAGAAGAATAAAAGAAAAACAAGACTTTTAAACCTAAATGCTACAGAAACATTCATAGTATACTAAGAGAAAAATTGTTATTATTGCATGGCTACCTACTAAGATAAACTAGGTATTTATAGAAGATTATTAAAATAAATAAGTAGTAATACAGTAATGAAAGCAAAATAATAGCAGCAAAGAGAAGGTGTGTTATAAGAGCTGCTGGAGCAAGGAAAAGGTTCCATAATGTTTTTTTTAAAGGTAGAAATGGGACGAAGACTAGATTTGATGGTCTGAACTACAACAGAGAGCCATGCTAAAGAATACACAGAGCGAGGGAAAAACCGTGCAATAAGTGAAACCATCTTCTTCTTCGTCTTTTCTTTACTCCTGGAATATCTCCCAACATCAGGGCAGGAAGAGATTTATGGAACGGGCCCTTCTGGTCATATATAGTACTTGTCAGTGTCGCTGATATTTCTGCGGTCCATCTTCTGTGTGGTCGACCTCTGCTTCTGTTACTGATGTGTCAGTATAACATCGCTGTATGTCGTGCCCTGTCTGATGCCAATTTTGTTTCATGACAAACCATTTGATTGATTTGATTTGTTGTCCACTTACAAAGTTCAGTATTGGTTCCATCTTTGTTGGATTTCTTTATTAATTTTTCTGTTTTCTCAGTAAAGATACTCCCCAGATATAAGTCCTTCACTGGTGTTATCTGATTTGCAAATTTGGTCAACGTATGTGAGGGACAATAGTGGTGATCAAACACCTCTGTCTTACTCCAGATCTAATGTAGAACTTTTCTGGCATTCCTGTATTTGTTCTAACTGTGATGGAATCCTGGTATCAAGAAAGTAAGATCAACTTAACTCTTTGAGTCCCAGGGGGTTTAGCATCACAGGCCCGGGGGTAGTAAAGAGAGTCATAAAATCGGCGCATCATGCGTTCATTGGGCTTCTAGGTAGCAACCTGTGAACGTATGATGCGTTTCTTGGGACTCAAAGAGTTAAAGAAAACATAAGTAAGAGCACACAAAAAATGCTTGCATCTCTCCCAACACGTCAGTGAGGAGGAAACTGGAGACAGAGAACAAGACAAGAAGAAGACCCATTTTAACAAGGCAAAAAACACACTTCTTATTACCACTGGGAATTGAACTCAGAATTACTTTGTTGGTGAGCCATTACACTAGCCAGTACACCAGGACAGCTTCATAGCTGTCATAACAGGTTGAGATTCAGGTCACAGTAATGTCTTGATTTATCCATTTATAAAATTCTAAGAATAAAACAGCAAAAACTTTTTTCTTTTTGTTTTTGTTTGTTTTGCACCTTTCCTTTCCATCATTCCAGAATCTAATATTACATAATGTTAGGAGGAGTTCAAGGATTATGGCTATAAAAGACTGTAAAGGCCAGCTGGCATTATGAACAGTCTCCCACAATACATGGAAGGATTTCACGACCATTAATGTCACCACTTCATTAAGTTGCCGTTAAGTATGTCTGTTGTGGGGAGCTTTGGTAGTGCAGTCACAAGCACTGACTGAAAGTATTGAATAGGTGCTTTTACTTTACACTTAATATCCCTAAAAGCTGGCACTATACACTTTTTCTATCATTTCACTCAGGAATTTTTCCTAGAACAAAGGGTGCCAGTACACATAAAAAAAAGTCCCTAAAGGGCGTTATCAGTAGTCACCACAGTGTCTGTTACAGTTTTTGGCACCTCACCTTCTTTCCAGATGTTAGTGTTGAAATATGCCATGGAAAAGCTTGACAATACCAGCCCATGAATAACCAGCAAGACCCATCCACAGTTATTTGTCACATTACAGGCAAGCTGAAACAAAATATACCTCTTAAAAAAGGTGCCATACCCCTAGGAAAAAAAACCTTGTTTGAACTGATGTTCTCTTGTGCTTTCCGCAGGTTCAAGGCTCTGTTCAGGTACTGGGCAGTTCCAACATTGGACACGCTATTGTCAAGGAGGCAGAAAAGGAGAAAGTGGCCCTTATTGTCATTGGCAGCCGAGGACATGGAGTTCTGAGAAGGACCATCCTGGGTAGCATCTCCAGCTATGTGGTCCACCACAGCCATATCCCTGTGCTGGTCCATCCCACCATACACCACCAGAAGGACAGGCGCCAGAGTGGATCAGAGAAGGGACATTAGGGCCTGATGTTTGCTGCAGACTTGCCGACGATAACTCACAAACTATTTTGTTTTGATTTCTTAACTATTTCAGTTGCACAAGCTGCTGTAGCCCGATGACCATAGGGAGGATATCTGTGGGAAAATACTACTGTCAAGAAGCACACAAGCATGATTTGTAGAGACACTAAAGAAATAGTTGCAAGGAGTTGTTGGCAGCAGAAATATCCTTTCTAAGATAAATGTTGTGAAGGCCTTTAACAGCTAACATAACTGACAATGAATGTTTGAAGAAAGTTAAGGAAAGTAAGCAGTATTTGCAGCTATAACGTAATGAAACAGACATGACATTTTGGTCGTGTGATTAGGGGAGAGATTTGGGAAAATATGATGACCACACAGAGGAAAATTATGTTGGTTGGTCTAAGATGGATGAATGTGTGGAAGGTTACTTCTATTAACAGATCTTCATGGCTATTAAAGTGGCTAAATATGCAGATGACCTTAGTGGTAGCAGAAATGTGCTTTCTAAAATAAATATTGCGAATACCTTGGACTTTCAGAATAATTAACAACGATTGTCTGAGTAAAAAAAAACTAATGAAAATAAAAAGTGTATGCCAGACAGTTTTCTTTTGTTCAAAAGTAGAATGTTGATGCAGCTATAATTAGGAGACAAACAGTATTATTTCATCAGATGTTGAGATGACAAATGTTGCAGTGTATTGTGATGACCTTAAAGGTCAGTAATGGAAGAGGCAGGTCAGAGAGAGATGATGGTGGGTTTAGCATGGTGCTTGAGAGCAATGTGTGGGAAGCTGCCACTGTGTACAGTTATGGATGCTTGGATTTTGAGGATGCTCACCTGATTACTGGTCTTGGGTTTGAATCCACATCAAGTCAGATATTTTCAGAAAGGACCTTTAACATTTCAGAAACCTAGTTTGCAGATGGAAGGGCTTGGTGGCAGTAGAGATGTGCTTTGTGAGGTGAATGTTCTGAATATCTTGGACTGTTGGATTTACTAACGACTTTCTGAAGAAAGCTAATGCCAGTAGAAAGTCTATACAACTATAATTTGGAGACAAATAATAATGTTTTATCAACTGTTGAAATAAAAAATGGACAATATCATGGAGGAAAAATCAGTATAGAAGAGGCATAAGCAGAGAGAACTAATGCTAGTTGATCTAAGATGGAGACATGGAGGAACGTCTGTGAAGAGACCAAATGAAAAAGCATCTTGAATGAATTTTAAAAAAGCTAGATCCACAGTTTGAAGAAAAGAGGGCTGACAGTAGAGATATGGTTTCTGAGTTGATTGTTACAAATACATTGGTCTTTAGAATTACCACAGTGGTTGTTAGAAAACAATCTTGAATGTAGAAGTTATATGCAGCTGTAAAAAGAGGAGACAGACAGTATTCTGTGGTTGTGGGATGAGCCGAGAGATGATGGAGGAAGGATGATGATTGGAAAGATCAGTGATAAAAGAGAGAAATGAGCAGAAAGAGAGACTGGTTGATCTAAGATTGTGACATGGATGGAATGTGTTGGAAAGTATAACTATGAACGGCCATTAATTCCTGACTTTTAGAGAGACTCAATAGGCAGCTGGAAGAACCTAATAATTAACAATGATCAATTGAAAAAAGTCTGTCAGTTTAACATTAAAGAAGGCCAAAAATAAACTGACACAACGAAGACAGGACAGAGAGTGTTGGAAACTCATTAGAGCCAACCTTCTGTATGGAGATGGCACCTAATGGTCAGGACAGAACAGGTCTTAGTGAAATCAGTTTTAAACTCTTTGTATAAAAAAATATTACATTTTCTAAATACAAGTTTTGTGTGTGTAAGACAAATGTTTTAGTAAATCAGTCATTTAGTTTGTTTATCATTAGAAATTAATTTCATATTTAGAAATTAATTTCATATTTTGTGTTGAACTGGGATGTAATGTTTCAGCTGTCAGAGGAGCTTTCCTGTTCGAGTGAGGTTAATTTATTTGTGTTATCTCTTGTTGGAAGCTTTACTGAAGTAATAAAGGAAGCATGTGTCTCATCTACTCATTTCCCTAGTCACATTTTTTTTCATTATCAAATAATTCCTAGGCCCAAAGACAACCTATCGCATATATCAGAGGAAGGAAGGAAGTCATCAATTTTTGGCCATCTTGTAAGAAGGGAGACAACTGGAATGATCTGTGGGGAAAGAGATGTTGGAAGACAACATGAGAAGATTCTTGACAGTCTTGTGTCATGGCATGGAAGGATGTTGACACCTCAAATAATGCATGCTTTTGCAAATAGCCAGTTACGGAGAGGCATGATTATCCATGCTAGTTAGCAAGGCACTTGATGTTGATGTTGAAGATAAGTGCAGTCATTCTCAGTTAGCTGAGACCTGCTGACCTCTCTCATTTTTGAGGATGTGCCAGTGACTCCATCAGTTGCCAGTGTTTCCATCAGTTGCCAGTGTTTCCATCAGTTGCCAGTGTTTCCATCAGTTGCCAGTGTTTCCATCAGTTGCCAGTGTTTCCATCAGTTGCCAGTGTTTCCATCAGTTGCCAGTGTTTCCATCAGTTTTAATAGTAATTAAAAAAAAAAGGTCATTTATATTAGAAACACAAAAATGAATGCATTTTAAATTTGAGGGTTTCCATAGACTCTTACATTTGTTCAGTTGGACTCCGGGTGTCAACACAATTTAAAAGACTGCTATAGCATAATATTGACAAATACTTTTTCTTTGCTGATATATTTTAACTTGTGACATTGTGTTGTCTTCTGTTACTTTTATCAACGCTCTGTCAAAGAGTCAAGTGTCATCCCCACAGTAATAATTGTCCTCCTCTTCTGCTTTCTCCATTATGGGTGGCTTGCACATTGTTTTGTGGTTTACAGCTAGGCTGCAATATCTGCTCCTTCTGGCCCAACACAACTGATTTCAGAAAACTCATAACTTGTTGTCTCTTATGTCATGCTTGTTAGGTGGGCACTTGGGTCTATTCTTTTTTGACATGCTTTTTTTTTGGGGGGGGGGGGGGGGGCACTTGGGTCTATTCTCTTGTGACATACTTGTTGGGGGAGCACTTGGGTCTATTCTCTTATCATGCTTGTTGGGGGAGCACTTGGGTCTATTCTCTTATCATGCTTGTTGGGGAGCACTTGGGTCTATTCTCCTATGACATGCTTGTTAGGTGGGCACTTTAGTCTATTCTCTTATGACATACTTGTTGGGGAGCACTTGGATCTATTCTCCTATGACATTCTTGTTAGGTGGGCACTTGGGTCTATTCTCCTATGACATGCTTGTTAGGTGGGCACTTGGGTCTATTCTCTTATGACATGCTTGTTGTGGAGCACTTGGGTCTATTCTCTTATGACATACTTGTTGGGGAGCACTTGGGTCTATTCTCCTATGACATACTTGTTGGGGAGCACTTGGGTCTATTCTCCTATGACATGTTTGTTGGGGGGCACTTGGGTCTATTCTTTTATGACATACTTGTTGGGGAGCACTTGGGTCTATTCTCCTATGACATGTTTGTTGGGGGGCACTTGGGTCTATTCTTTTATGACATACCTGTTGGGGAGCACTTGGGTCTATTCTCTACCCCTCATCCCCCAGAACTCACATGGAGGACAGTTTTGGCTGGAATGACAGGACCTCCTCTCTCTGGCCTGGTTGTACACTAACATACTGGTGTTTGTCAGTCTCTGGCCTGGTTGTACACTAACATACAGGTGTTTGTCAGTCTCTGGCCTGGTTGTACACTAACATACTGATGTTTGTCAGTCTCTGGCCTGGTTGTACACTAACATACAGGTGTTTGTCAGTCTCTGGCCTGGTTGTACACTAACATACTGATGTTTGTCAGTCTCTGGCCTGGTTGTACACTAACATACAGGTGTTTGTCAGTCTCTGGCCTGGTTGTACACTAACATACAGGTGTTTGTCAGTCTCTGGCCTGGTTGTACACTAACATACTGGTGTTTGTCAGTCTCTGGCCTGGTTGTACACTAACATACAGGTGTTTGCCAGTCTCTGGCCTGGTTGTACACTAACATACTGGTGTTTGTCAGTCTCTGGCCTGGTTGTACACTAACATACTGGTGTTTGTCAGTCTCTGGCCTGGTTGTACACTAACATACTGGTGTTTGTCAGTCTCTGGCCTGGTTGTACACTAACATACTGGTGTTTGTCAATCGCTTGATGTTTTTCCCCAAGTGTATCCATGTCTACAGCTTGCCCATATGCCTTCACATTATTCTTCCAGTTTGTTTATTCTTTTAGATAAAAGTAGAGGACCTATTTTTATGCTTCTTAGGGTTACTTACCATCTGTAGTCACTGCCTACTTGTGTAGTCCAGTACTCACTTGACCGCCTACTTGTGTAGTCCAGTACTCACTTGACTGCCTACTTGTGTAGTCCAGTACTCACTTGACTGCCTACTTGTGTAGTCCAGTACTCACTTGACTGCCTACTTGTGTAGTCCAGTACTCACTTGACTGCCTACTTGTGTAGTCCAGTACTCACTTGACCGCCTACTTGTGTAGTCCAGTACTCACTTGACTGCCTACTTGTGTAGTCCAGTACTCACTTGACTGCCTACTTGTGTAGACCAGTACTCACTTGACCGCCTACTTGTGTAGTCCAGTACTCACTTGACCGCCTAATTGTGTAGTCCAGTACTCACTTGACTGCCTACTTGTGTAGACCAGTACTCACTTGACCGCCTACTTGTGTAGTCCAGTACTCACTTGACTGCCTACTTGTGTAGTCACTCTGACACCAGCTGCACGAGCCTGTGTGAACATTTCCGGGTTCCAGAATGAGATCATGTTGACCAGGAAGGCACACAAGACAGTTTGAATCAGCACAAAGAAACATCTCAGACACAGCATATTCATTCCGAAACTATGCTATCAGTGCCAGACATGGTCACTCACAACAAACCAGAACAGAAAATTAGGGAAAATAAGGTGTCTGAGAAGGGATGCAGGAGTGACCGTAA